AGCTCCTCCTGCTGCTCACCCACTTTCAGACACATGGGCCTCCTTGAAGCTGGGCCTTAAAAACACCAGGCCTGCTCCCACTCAGGCCCTCAGCCCTTGCTGTTCCCTTCAACTGGAACATTCTACCTTCATCTCTTCGGGTCTTTATTCAAAGCTTAGCTTCTGGGCCAGGCCCTCCCTGGCCACCCTATTCAAGCTCCTATCACCCCACCCCACCCCACCCCTGCTCCTGCTCCAGAAAATCCCATTTCCCTGCTTTATTTCTCTTCCTAACGTGTCTACTATGTAACATACTCTACACTTTCCTGATTCATATTTTTAATTTTCTGGCTTCCTCACCAGAGAATAAGAAAGAAATGTGAGCTCCAGGAAAGCAGGCATTTGTGTCTGCCTGTTCTCTGCTGTGCCCACCCCCATCAGTGCCTCGAATATAGCAGGTGTTTGATCAATATTTTTAAATGTACAAGAGGCTGAATTTATCTCATGCCTCAAACAAAGGGCTGAGACATGCAAACTTCCAGTCAATAAAGCATCTGGAATACCCTCTGAGAGAACTCTCAGGGTTGCCCACCCCTCTCTTTGCTCCTCTTGGAGGAGCATTCTTTCAAATGCTTCTCCCAGACTCTACTGTGAGTAGTCCCAGAACAAATACTCTCAAAACAGCCAGTCAAAAAAAAAAAAAAACAGCCAGTCAAATACACAAATCACCAGGAGGAGATCTGCAATCTCCCCCTCCCCCAATATCCATACACCACCCCTCTACAACCCGAAAAGAACAGGTGAGTCTGTTTTCTACCCAGGCCTTCAGATAAGTCAATCACGTGTCCTCAACAGGTGTACTGATTGAGCAATTTCAGAAAAAGGCGTGTAAGTATGATACTAGTGGGGAAAGACAGTGCTGGCCTCACAGAAATTTCTATTTATACTCTTCCTAAAGTAGCACCCAGCAGGCACTCGTTTCATGAAGAAGCAAAGGCATTGTGCTACTGACATCAAGTGGGGTAAGAATTCCTGTCCTGAGCTCTGTCACCTTGCTACTACCCTGGGCATAAAAATGTCCCTCCAAATGGACCAAGCTGTTCTAGCTACACATGAAAGCTACCAGAAAATATAGTAAATGCCTCTCTTACCCAGACAAGCCAAAAAACCTTAGGGTTGTAAGAGCACTTGAAAATCATCCCATCTTCTCTGCCCCTCTGATGTGATAGGTGATGAAGCTAAGACCAGTCATGTGAACAAATGACCAAGTAGCCCACAGGCCACACACCTGACCAGTGGCTGAGCCAGACTTTGAACCCAGGCCCAAGACCTCCCTGGCGCCCGCTCCAGCCCCCTCAAACAGCAATTATTTCAACACAAAACATTTGGTCTGTAAGAAAAGCATGTATTAATACCCTGCAGAGATGAATGTCTATTTTCTAGGACGTGCCATTTCTGTACTCCAGGGGAAAGGAGGTGTATTGGAAGAACCATTCTCTGCCAACTATCAAGGTCTCTTCTGTTCAGATACCTTTCATGGTGTGGAAATTACAGAAGCCACTTCCATGAGTCTGGGGTAATTCCGGCACACCATGGTCAAAGCCTTCTTCCCATCCATATCCTTCTTCAGATGGCCTGTTTCATTTTCTCGGTTTAGAAGACGTGGAAGACATCTACCTATGGTAGAGGTGGCCTGAATGGCCTCAGCAAACCGCCACAGAAATGCTTACCACTCTTCATTGCTGTTACACATTTACTTGGCCTCATTTATTTGGGGTACCAGGGATCTGAAAACATGGCATTGATTAATAAACAGTATTTAAGCCTTCCCACCTTGTTTGGAGGTAGGGTTAGGCCCTGGGATTTCCTTTTAAAGGAAGACACGCTGAAGGCCACAAGTTGAGAGGTTTCTCCAGAGACCTGGCTCAGGGGTGTATCAGAAAACCCAGGTCCAAACCACCCAAAGGGTCCTTTCCCCTACACTGTCCTTTGCTTCCTCCAGCTCTTTTCCTACCCTCTAGGACCACCTTCACTTTCATCTGCCCCCCACCCTCCAGCAAGGCCCTGCTAACTACACAATCTAAATGGCTTGACCCTTTGGCCTTCAACAGTAAACCTGCTCCGCATGGAAAGGTACCTGAACCAGGCAGCCAAATATCAGATTACAAGGTCTGGCCAAGTGAATGCTCCTTGGGTCTTTACAATGCTTTATTTCCAAGGCATTTTAACAGCTGACAATCTGTCTCCTGGAAGGGCTTTCCTGCCTTAGGATCTTAAAGGCATATGGTAAAAGTGTGACAAAATGATTGGGCTTGCAGAGTACCCTGGAAATGAATTCCAATTGTTAGTGTTGAAGCCCCTGACTGATGCTAGGTTTCACTGCAAACAAGACCCCAAACTCAAAATCCACACTGATAGGAGCAGAAGCGACATCTATTTAGACTCAAGCTAAGGGTGCTGGACTTGGCCCTGGGGGAATCAGGAACCCTGAATTTTGGACCACTTCTAGAAAGTCCAAGAGACAAAAAGATGTTGATAATCCAAAAGTCACATGTTTGGATAATAGGTTACCCCATAATTATGTTTTAACTTAATATTAAAATTAATATAATTCTTTAATGTTAAAATTAGCTTCCCAAATACAAAAGTTAGTCAAATTATTAACATATGCTGTTAACTAATCCACAGAGTGGCTCAATATCATATGCATAATTATAAGTTGTTCTGCCTAGATTTGAGTATCAGCTCCACTTAATAAGTAGCTCCTGTTTGGCAGGTCACTTAATTCTCTTTGCCTCAGTCTTCCCATCTGCCAAGTGGGGATACTAGTAAATACCTACTTCATCAGGTTATCAAGAGAATAAAATGAGTTAATATCCATAAGGCACTCAGGATATCAACTGGTACTTGGTATTCATTTAATAAAGTCACCTATAATTACCTTTACTATTATCACCATGCTATTGAGTGAAAACATTTTGATCATCTTATTGTTTGTGTTTTGCTCTTCGAGAACTCCTGCCAGCAGGAAGGAACCATAGCCTGAAGCTCAATCCTTTCCAAGACAGAAGGCAAAGCTTTGGAATCCTAACAGAGACCCATCCCCAGGTTTATGGGGAACGTGGCTAGAGTCCAAGAAGCTGTTTTGCAAGAGCTCTCTGTTCTTTCCGGCACGCATCAGGCAAGTCCCCATCCTGCCCAGAAGTGGAACCACCACAGTCATCCTCAAACAGTGCCGACCACAGCAGGAGCCACACAGTGAAGCCACAGCTCACCGGGCTGAGCATCTCTGACCACTGAAGAGGTACAGTCTCAGGGCTCTCCTGGGGAGCAGGAGACAGTCAGGGGAGGTTGCATCTGTCAGCCTGGAAGCTGCAGGCAGAGGGACCAGCTCCAGGAGTTCCGGTGAGGATGTGCCAAGCAACGCATTCTCCTACCATAGGACTCCACTCTCTCCAGCCCCCTCATCCTCAGCCACATGAGAATTCTCAGCATGACCACAAAGGACACGCTTCTTCTTTCTCAGCAACTTAACCATCTCAAAGTCACTCCCCCAAATCCAAATAAACCTCAAGGGTAATTTTCTAAAGTTCTGACCAAATCTCACCCCTTAACTGGCCCATGCTAAGAGGCGGCCCCAAGCCCTTCTCTATGAAAATGCAAAGCTCTTTCTGTTTTCTTTCCAACAAAGACAAAAAGTCTACACCCACAGGTAGACTGGGTCCCTGAAGCGAGCACAAAATCTGGGAGACCCTATTCTCATTCTAGGTAAGTGTGCATCCCCAGGATCAGAAGCATGGAGGGATGCTTCACAACTTGGCTTTGGGGAACCCACTTCAGATATTGGGGTGGGGGAGGGAAAATGACCGAACTCAGTGGACCCTGAGTATGGGGCACAAAACAATCTGTGTTTGAAAATATGGTTCTGGAAAAGCAAACCAACCGCAATGACAAGTAAAAGGGGATTAAGAAGGCAGGAAAGAAGAGCACCCTAATTTGTCTTATGAAACACCTCCTCTTTCTCTTACCCGCTTGACCAACACCTCCATGAACCCCTGCAAAATGTTCAGCTCATACAACACGTATGTGTGTGAATATACATGCTTACATACTGATCACATGAGGGGAAGCAATAACTCCAACTCCAGGTTCTTCCAGCAGCAACCGATCCTCTTTCACTATCAGCCTCCCTACCTATTCTGAGGCGCTCGGAAACAAAACAAACAAAAACCAACTCTTGGGCAGAAAAGGAACAGCAGCTGAATGGAGCAGCACATGCTTGAGCCTTCCTGACATCGACTTCTGGTTATTTCTGCTTTCTTGAGATCAGCCACCAGCCTCGGACCACACACAGCCCTGGAGAGGAACCGCGGGAACAGAGACCCTCGCAGACCCTCCTTGGCGAGCCGCACTCCAGCGTGTGCTGCTGAACCTGGTGAAATGGACTGACGCTCAGGTAAGGCTCAGCCCACACGTGACCCTGCACACTGCGAAATTCCTCCCTTCCCTAATCGCGCGGCCATCCAAAATCTTGCCTACATCGAGTACGTGCGGATGTCAATTCTCTAAGACTACATGATGTTAGAACAGAAATGGGAATGCCCGGAGCCGATTTCCTCGTGACCACGTCTCTCGCCGACACGGTGCGCCCGTGCACACGGTGAGTAGACGCACGCAGCCAGTAAACAGGAATATCCACCATGCTCAGCCCACAGTCATGCGTGGGGAGAATGAGTCGAGAGGGCGGCGGTGTCAGGGAAGTGAAAAGTCGCCCGCCTGCGACTGTCCCCGAAATCCCAGGGCCTCCCCTGCCCCCGCGCGGCGCCCACTCGGGCACGCGGGGCGCAGACCCACGCGGCGGGCACGCGGGGGGCTCCGCAGAGCCGAGAACTGGACAATGAGAACGCGGCGACCCTCCGGTCCCTGCCGCGGTGGCGGCGACGGCGGCGGTGGCAGCGAGAGCCACCTCTGCACCCGCGGCCGCTGCCACCTCCAACCTCTTCTCCCTGGTCCCCACTTACGTTCCGAGGGTCTCCTTGAACTCGAAGATTTTCTTGATGTCTTCAGCTTGCTTTTTCCAGGAGGAGCTGCTCTCGCCGTTCTCCCGGGCCATGGCAGACGAGGGCGGCGTGCGCGGAGGGCGGCGAGACAGAGAGGCCAGGGGCGCAGGGGGCCGGGGTTCCCGCGCGCCGCCGCCTTCGGGGATGTCCTGCTCCCCGGGAGCGCCGTGCCCCGGGCGCGGGGGCACCGCCGTCGCCGCCCGGCCACGCTCCCCGCCGCCGCACGCGCCCTGGAGCCCGGGAAAGGGCAGGTGCAGGGAACCCGGGCAGGTGCGGAAGTCGGGGAGCTTGCTGAAGGACCCCGGCCCTCCGGGGCTGCCTAATTAATTCTGCAAAGTCAAGTCTCGGGGGCGCGAGGGCTTTCCTCCCTGGCGGCGGGAGGGGGCGCCTCTGCGCTGCGCTTGGACGCGGCTGGAAGGGGGCGGGGGTGCGAGGCCGCCCGGATGCGGGGCGCCAAGGGCGGGGGCGTCCTCCCCTGGCGTCCCGGCTAGGCGCGGGGCCGGGCGGGGGCCGGTTGTTATGGCGACGAAAGGCGGCGGCGGGGATGCTGGCGGAGGTGGGCGTTGATTCGGGCCGCGCGGCGCCGGCCGGTGGCTGACGCTCCCGGAGCCTCACGACTTGGCGACTGGAGCTAATTCGCATTGCACCAAAATCGGCGCTCGAGTCCAATTACGGCCGGGGAAGGGGGCGCGCCGCGAGGAGAGAGCCGGGAGCCCTGGAGCCGGGGACGCGCAGGACGTGCCAGGCGCTGCCTCGTTTTCCCTTGGGGAGCTTAACTACCGGGGTTATCTGGCGGCCATGCAGCGGGTGGATTCGGGCTCCGTGCGCCGCCCAGGCTACCCCGGACCTGGGGCTGGAGCGGACCTGGGCGGGCCTGGACCGGCCTTCGCTCCAGCTCGACTCCTCCTGGTCTCTCCCTCTCTCCATCGGCCGAAACCTAGAGGCTTAGAGGAAGGTGAAGCTCTGCCCCACACCCTCCTCGCCAGGAGGGTTGCCCCTTGTAAGCCCGGCGGCGGCGGTGGGTTTAGTAGGGCACCCTGTCTTAGGGCATGTACCTGGAAATAGCGTTCCCCACCCCGCCGCCGCCCGGCCTTCCATCTTCGAGTTGCATTTTGACTGCCCATTCTCCTTCCGTGTCCACCTGTCAGAGGGCGATCCACATGCGGATGCCCATCCTCAACCTGCGGGGACTCTTGTTTCAAAAAATTGTAGTTTTCTTCGTATCAAGACTGTCACTCCCTGAGGGTACGTCGACTGAGTTGGATAAACAACCTTAGGTCTTGATTGCTGACACCTGTCCCACTTACCCAGGACTGTTCCAATTTCACTGTGGAAAGGTGGGGGGGGGGGGGGGGGATTCTACTGCCTGAAAACTTGTCTAGCACCTTCTTTCTCGTTCTGACAGGCTGGATGCAGGCCTACTGCCCTCCCAGAAGCCGTCTGGACTCTGCCGCGGCCTCTACCTTTTCCCTCACCCAAGGAGGTGGGAAGATAACCTGGCCTGCCCAGTCCCCCACATCTGCGTGCTGGATTCTGTCTTTCAGGGGCTGTTAGCTTAAGGCTCTCCGTGCTGGGGAGAGCAAATAGGGGATCTTGCTATTAGAAACTGACTAAATCGACAAACCCAATTTCCACCGTGAATTACTAAGGAACCTCTCAAAGTTGGGGCCTGTCACCAAAGGCAAACAGCACCACTTCAATAAGAAATATGTTTGAAGAACTGTACTATCGTCTATTGGGGTCAAAGGTTAGGCAGTAAGAAGAGTAGGAACCAGGCATGACTGAGATCCCAAGGGACATTCTCCGTGCCCGCCATATGCATCTGCTTATCCTTTTTCTCTCTTTTCCCGTCTTCGCACTTCTTCTTATCCAGTTCTTCCCTATTTCACTCTTGCTCCCTGCCTACAGATTATTGTGCCACAAGAGTGCACAGTAACAATCCTCAGTCTCAGCTTTTGTCCACAGAACTAAAGAAGTGGTGATGCTAAAGAAGTGGTGTACTGTCGCAAGTGCTACAGGGAGCTGTCTGTTTCTTTTGAATTTTCCATGTGCAGGCGTGCTAAGTCACTTCAGTCTTGTCCAACTCTGTGCGGCCCTATGGACTGTAGCCCACCAGCCCTCTGTCCATGGGATTGTCCAGTAAAGAGTACTGGAGTAGGTTGCTGTGCATCCTCCCGAGGATGTTCCTGACCCAGGGATTGAACTCCCATCTCTTAGGTCTGTATTGGCAGGCAGGTTCTTTACCACTAGTGTCACTTGGGAAGCCCCTGAATTTTCCATAATGATGTTCATTCAAAGCTAAGTTATCCTCAGCTGGACTAGATCCTAGAGAAAAAAAAAGTCAAAAGTTTGATGGGAGTTGAGGTCAAACCAAAGGAATGACACAAAGAAGGAGGTGGAAATGCCAAAGACAAATTCAGTCTGGCTTTAGCATGGTCATTCCTCCCTTACTGGACACCATGTTAAATAAGAGATCTTGACCTTGGGAACCACCATAGAAAACAAAACCACCATTCCCTGAGAATGATTAAACCTTAGCCTGTAAATGGCTTAGTTCTGTTTGCTTGAGGACCCTTGATTGGATAACCATGTCCTCCAGCTACCATGTCTTTTAGAGGACTAGGTGATGGCTGTGAACTCTTCATTCAACTCCAGCTCCCATTGTCAATGTTATTACCTATCAGTCAAAAGCTGTCCATTCCCTAAGAATTCCACTGCAGAAAGCTCTGCTAGATATTCTAAATTACTAACCTTTAGGTCCCAAGTCTTTATATTTCCTTAAAGCCCTTAAAATTTTTATTAAAGAACCTGAAGAACAAGTTGTTTAATAACTCATCATTAAAGACTTACCAATTTTGTGCCTATCAAACTCTTTCCAACCATCAGACCTGCCAATAGATCAGGCTTGTATGGCCCAGGTTCAGAACTGGGTGGGTGGTGTGGGGGAAATATATAGTATCTAAAGCAAATGTGTAGATTATAACTGAAAATCTCTAAATTACCTCTATTCAGCCTTTGGGGCTTCCCAGATAGTGCAGTGGTAAAGACAGTCTTTGTACCTAAAATGATAAACCAGGAGCACAAGCTGGGGGTGGTAGAAAGAACTAGAAAGTCTGGGAAACTAGGGTCAAGTTCCAAGTCTGTTGCTAAATTTTTCTTTTTTTCTTTTTTTGGCCCAACTAGGAATCAAACTCAAGCCCTCAGCAGTGAATATATAAAGCCCTAATCACTGGACCACCAGGGAATTCCCTCAAAATTTATTTTTTAAAATTGTATGTGACAAGAACTTGCTCATGGAATACAGGGCAAGATGGTAAAAGGAATTAAAACTGAAGCTGGAATGCTCAGGAAAGAATCAGGAAACAATAAAATCACAGATATAAAGACTACATTGGAAATGGAACAAGGAAATTGACTTCAAAAAACTTCTTAAAGGATATAGAAAACAAGAATAGTGAAAAAATAAAATGGAAATGGGCAAAGATGAGCTAGAAAGTTATATGAAACATGAAGTTCAATGTATTCATAAATGGTATGCCTTCAGAAGAGACCGCAGTAATGGACCAAAAAATATTTCAAGATATTATTCAAGAAAACTTTCCAGAAATGAAGACCTTAATCTACAGATTGAAGGGGAACAACATGTATTAAAAAATATACAGATGATCAATAGGAAGACATGTCCTCATAGTACTACTTATCTCCAAAGAAATAATACTTTATTTTTCTCAGAAAAACAAAAAAAAGTCAAGTTATTTGTAATGGGAAGTATATATATCAGCCTTTCATAGGCTTCAATAGCCACACCCAATGATAGAGGCTATGTTTATAAAGTCCCTAAGGCAATTAATTGTGATAAAAGAATTTCGTGATAATAACTAACACTTATTGAGATCACATTATGGATCAGGCTTTCCTCTAAGTGCTTTACCATGTTTATAATCCTCACATCAATTATATGAAGTAGGTAATATCTCTATTCTTACTTTGTAGAGGAGACCAAAATTTGGAATGGTTTAGAAGCACACATGAAGTATGAATGAATAAAACCCAAGCAGCCTGGCTCCAGAGCCCTGGTCTTAAGTGTTGCACTGTAATCCTGCTATCAAAGTGTTGCTCAAATAAAAGGCATCAAACAGTGAGAAATTGTTACTGAAGAAGGAGGGAGTGGATGTTGAGCAGGCAAAGGTGATGGATGCCCCCTACAATATAAATATCTCTTTAATGAAGAAAAACAGGAGAATGATAGTTGTTCAAAACTAAAATACAGTAATCAAATGACTACCAACTCCAGAAATGTATCTTTGTTTACATTTGCTTGTTTTAGTTCCATTATTTTCCAAACCTCAAGGAACTTTTAAGTGAACTCACTCCCTTGGGTCTTTACCTGGTGGACATCACCTTTATCTTCCTACCTTAGATCTGAAACAAGTCTTTGGGTTGTTTCCCAATATTCTCCTAGACCTGGATCTTGCTCTTTTAAAGCTGACATTGAAACACAGTCTTGTCGGTTCATATTCGAGTTAAGAGTCTAGTTTTAGTTCAGTGAGGTGCATTTGACAACACGCACAGGTGCATTTATAAAATTGAGGACACTAAAAAAATAAGAAAAAAATTCCTACTGGTCCAGTGGTTAGGACTCAGTGCCTTCACTGCTGAGGCCCCAGGTTCAATCCCTGGTCAGGGTGCGATGATCCTGAAAGCCATGCAGCACAGGCAGAGAAATAAATAAAAATAAAATCGAGGACACTGAAAACAGTAAACACTGAAAACAGTCCCCTCTTACATGGGGAACCAAGCCTAAACAAAAATGGCACCTCCTCTGATTTTCTACCCAGATCAGGATCTACAACAGACATTGAAATAGAATCTCATCAATTTATATTTAAACTTAATGGTATACTCCAAACAACTGAAGGAAGTACACTGGATGATGCATTTACAAAATTTGAAGGCATTTAGTCAATAAATACACTGTTTCACATAAGCAAAGCCAAGCCTACACAACCACCACAATGGCCTCAAAAAAAATTGCCCATGAAGGCTGATTTTTCTCCAAAACCCCAAATCTTTAAAAAAAAAATCTTTTCCTGTAAAGATGAGTAATTATCCAAAGATGGGAGCCTAAATGTAAGATGTTCTTTCTTCCTTTTTAGCGACTTGAACCACAAATACTTAAATTGAACCACAAACATGTTTAGAATATAATAGTCAAATAAGGAGAAAAAACAATCTTAAGAAACATCTTCTAAATAGGCACATGAAAAATTGCTCATCATTGCTAATTATTAGAGAAATACAAATCAAAACTATAATGGGATACCACCTCACACTGATCAGAATGGTCATCATTAAAAACTACAAATAAATGATGGAGAGGGTGTGGAGAAATCGGAACTCTCCTACGCTGTTGGTAATGTAAATTGGTATAGTCACTATGGAGAATAGTATGGAGGCTACTTAAAAAAATTAAAAAATAGAATTGCCAAATGATTTAGCAGTTCCACTCCTGGGCATATATCCAGAGAAAAACGTGGTCCAAAAAGATACATGCACCCCACTGTTCACTGTGGCACTATTTACAATAGCCAAGACATGGAAGCACCCGAAATGTCCATTGACAGATGGATTGATAAAGAGGGTTTGGTACATATATATAATGGAATATTACTCAGCCATTAAAAAGAATGAAGTAATGCCACTTGCAGCAACACAGATGGACCTAGAAATTATCATACTAAGTAAGTCAGAAGGAAAAAGACAAATACTATATGATGTCACTTTATGTGAAATCTAAAATACGACACAAATGAATAAATTCTGAAAAACAGAAACACAGACATAGAGCAGTGGTCCCCAACCTTTTTGGCACCAGGGATCAGTTGCATGGAAGATATTTTTGCCATGGACCTGGGTGGAGGGCATGGTTTCTGGATCATTCAAGCACATTACATTTATTGCCCACTTTATTTCTGTTATTATTTTATCAGCTCCACTTCAGATCATCAGGAGTTAGATCCTGGAGGTTGGGGACCCCTGACATAGAGAACAGATTTGTGGTTTCCAAGGGGGAGGGGAAGTGGAGGGGGGGAGAAGGATTGGGAGTTGGGATTAGCAGATGTAAAGTATTATAGGATGGATAAACAACAAGGTCCTACTGTATAGCACAGGAAACTAGGTAGTTTATGATAGTAATAGAAAAGAATATGAAAAAGAATGTGTATATGTATAACTGAATCACTTTGCTGCATAGCAAAAATTAGCACAACATTGTAAATCAATTGTATTTCAATAAAATTTTTAAAGAAGGAGATGTCTTCCAGTGTTTGTAAATCATCAGTTGTGGCTGATGAATTGTAACACCAGTGGGCTGATATTAACCATGTTCTGAGTGCCCTACTTTCTCTGTGAGATATTTGTTGAGCTTATATTTTTTGAAATAAACACATTCAAAAAATGAACAAAGCGCAGTTCCTGCCCTCAAAACACTCCAACACAAACACACAGACAGACATGTAAATAGGTGCATGCTCAGTTGCTCAGTCATGTCCAACTCTTTGTGAACCCATGGACTGTAGGCCGCTAGGCTCCCCTGTCCATGGGATTTTTCCCAGCAAGAATACTGGAGTGAGTTGCCATTTCCTCCTCCAGGGGATCCTTCCTGATCCAGGGATCAAACCTCCTGCATTGGCATGCAGATTCTTTACCCCCAAGCCACGTGGGAATCCCTATGTAAATAAGTAGCAAGAATAAAATGTGATGGAGGCTATAATGGAGGTTTGCAGAGAGTACTGGGGAAGCATAGAACAGAAAGGGCCTGGAAGTGTCAGAAAAGACGGGAAAAAGGAAGACTTTTGAACTGGGTCTGGAAGGAGTATCCGTAAGAAATTGCCAAGGAGAGAAGGGAGGGTGCATGCAGATTTCAAGCAGGAGAAAAAGCATGTGTGAAGGAACAAAATTCAAAGAAAGGGATATCCATCAGAATAGCCTGGTGACAATCCCCAAGTCTTGGTGGTTTATAGAACAAAGTTTTGTTTCTCACATTCATCAGTCGGCTGGGGACCTGCTGGCAGAGTAACCGCCACCTTGGACTTGGCTGGTCCCTGTGGCAGAAGGAAATCAAGCCAGGTTTGCACAGCAAGTAGTTGATTGCTTTGTCCTGGAAGTGACACACATCACCTCCACTCTGGCCAGAACTAATGACACAGACTCACCCACCAAGAGGACCTGGAAATGAGAGCTGGAATGATCTGGTGGATAGCGCTAATGGCTACCCCAAAGGCACTGCAGAAGGCTGCACATTCAGGAAATGGTGCTGGGGGCAGGGTGAGCAGGGCCTGGACATTGGGAGTTAGAATCCAGTGAACAGACAGGGGAACACAGATTAGACTGGAAGAAATTAAAGGGCCTGTTTATGAAAGGCCTCAACTGTCCTTCCTTTGGGCCGCAAAATAAAAATTTTAAGGGATTCAATAAGTGTCACAATCAGGGTTAAAAACAGTCACACTCCGCCTTGCAGTTCAGGAGTGCCTGTCACCCACAGAAAGTAAATGGGCCTGTGGCTGCTCTTCTGATCCTAGTAGAACACAGCCTTGACTGTGACAGAACCCTGGATACCATTGAAGGAATTCCAACCAAAAGCTCCAGAGAAGACTGCGGTGTTGCTTCCAGTATTGCTACTTCTGACGTTAGTGTATTTCAAGTTCTAGTCTTTGAGAAATCTTAAGGTCTGGGCGAGGTCGTATATGCCAGGGATGAACTGATTAGCTGGGATTCTGAAATGCAATCTACTTTAGGGGTATCTCTGCAAGCATGAGTCTCAGAGACAGTCAGGGGCATCACTGAGTCCAGTAGAGTCCCGGTGTCCTATTATGGTGAGTGGGTGGGCACACCAAGTAAGAGTGACTTTGCAAGCAGCCTGATACAGGAGATAAGCAAACGAATAATCAGGTTTGTCAGCCAGTCTGGTAAGACTGTTTGCAAGTTCAGGGGACTACAGCAAAACAGTGGAGTGTGTACAATAGTGGATTTCAACACACACACACAGACATAACTGGAGTGAATGGCATCGAGTTTGTGTTTCGATATTGGTACACTGAGTGCAGGCACAAACCAGAGCCAAGTGTTGAAATGAAAGAACCCAGGTCTCCTCTGACATCTAACCCACTCCCTGACTTTAGGCATTTTCCAATCCTTTCTCCAAAAAAGGAGACCATATGGGTATGGATGAGAAAACACCAGCAAAGAACTCTGGACTTCTCAGAAGAAAGTCAGAAGGTACACATGAGGTGTTAATAGTATACACCTTTTCTTTTTAATAGCTGTCATATCTGGGGACTTCCCTGGTGGTCCAGTGGTTAAGACTCAGTATTTCACTGGTGCAGACCTGTGTTCGATCCCTGGTCAGGGACCTAAGATCCCCAAAACCTTATGGTGCGGGGGAAAAAAAAAGTAGTAATAACTGTCACATGTGGCTCTTTGTCTTTTACCTGGATTATAAAATGAATGTTTTAAAAAGAAAAAATATTCTACCCAAAATATATCCACCCACAAGATTTCCACTAGGTGGTTGCATTTCATATTCAATGTCAATAATCTGGGAATGCCTTGGATTCTTGTTTCCAGGAGGGGTTTTCTAGCTGCAAGAAACAGCCTCATCAGCCAGATCCTGCCAATACCTTATTCCCTAAGAGTGCGTTGACACTGTGGGCATTAACTCTTCGAAATCAAAACTTTAAAAAAATCTATAAACAGGAACATATTAGCATTTTTGTATAAACCATAAACCTACAAGTGGAGACCACTATTATATTTTATAAAAGCAAATGATTTTTTTTAAAAAAAGAAGCAAATGATTTGTCAGTTTTTAAGAAGGATATGCTCCTTGGAGTTGACGGTGCCCCTGGAGGCCTTCATGGTTCTTCTATTTCTCCAGAGTGTTTCTAAAAGCAGAGGAAAGGTAGGGGAAAATATTCCCCCCAAAATTATGAGGCAAAAAAAAAAAAATCATTTAAGTACTTCTCAGCATTCCTGGTCCAACAGCTTTTTTCCACAGTTCACAGACTGAGGCAGCCATGGCATTTATACCCCAGATGGACATAAACCAGACTGTGGAATTATTGAGGCATTAACTACACCCATGATGAAGTGTCGGCTCTCTAGACCTCATGCAACTGCTGGCCTAAAACTCACACATTGAGGCAAGACATTTAAATTACCAGCCAGAAGAAGAGCCTTTCTTCTAATTGAATTCACACAGGAACTCAGAAAGGGGCCAAGTCAGGAACTTGGGCCCGAGTAGCCCTGGAGCGCCCCTCCTTCCTCAACACTCTCCTCCCAAGAAAGTCCGGGCTTCCAGATCTCAGACAGCTCGGCGGGCCCCTCAAGGTTAGCAATGCTGTTTCCCATCGAATCAGCCAGAAACAACACTGGAAGTGGGTTTATTTTTACCCCAGGCTTTGTCATCTATCATTACTAAAATACTAAGAGACAGGTTTTGGCTGAGTATCCTGTAGAATATTCAAGATCTCCGTGTAGGATCTGGCTCTCCATCTCTCACGTTTGTCTTATTTGGAGTGTACTCCTTCTCCCTGCCAAGGCTCCTCATTAGCAAGGATGTCTGTGTTCCAAATGAGACGCCATCTCTCTTGGTTGGACAACTGAAAGATTCAGTGATGATGTCATAATGTAGCCCTTGTGACATCACCACTCCTTTCATGGAAACAAATCCTTGGTACCCTGGATGACATGGTATATTTAACCAGAGGGATGGGGGAATAGGTGTCAAAGGTGTCAACATCTCTTGCAGGTTTCTTCAGCATGCAGACATACAGCAAAAACTCACTTTACTGAGGGGCCTTTTCTCCAGATTCAGGTATATTTCGGGGAGAGGATCTTTTCCTTGATCTCCAAAATGGAAATTATATCACCTACTGGTGTGATGCCTTCTTGAACCACAGACCCAGCTGTAAGGTAAATCCCCCTTATCTTCTACATGACATTCAGACTAGATGCTCGTGGTTTGCAGAGTAATCTGTTTATGGAACTGGACATACATCTCCTTCCTCATCCTCCTTTCCAGCCAAGCAAACTTGTTGGCTCCTCTTGGAGCAAATCCACAGTCAGTTACTGGGCCCAGCACTATGCTGAGTCTGGCCCCATCAATCCCTTTGCTCTCGCTTCCTTTTTTAATTTCCAGTTCTTTCCTATTTGCAGTGGACTTTTACCCAAGCACCAGACTGCCTGCCCTTCTCAAACTCAACAAATACTTCTTTCAGTATTTTTTGACAGATGTTCCCAAAGGTGCAAGTCTATGCAGAAAAGAATGGAGCCCACAGTTCATTTCTATCAAAAAGATCAGAAGTTGTACTGCCTCTGAGCAAATAATTGAAATAAGGGCTTGGGGTGAAAGCCAAGGGTCACCATCTATGACCTTTATATTTCTCATTACATGACAACTCTCATGCAAAAATCTTGGCAGCAAAATCTTTGTTTCTCACATCCATACACATTTATAAATAAGCACTAAAGCCAAATTCAGAAACAAAATACCCTGGAAAGGGTTTAAGTCCTGTAGTGGCCACTTCCTGGTCCTGAGGATGAATGGCTCTGGGGCCAGGCTCTTGCCAGTTACCTGAGGGGCTCTATGCTGCCTGCTTTATGTTGAGAAAGTGGGGTTTCCCCAGATCTCCCACATGTACTCCCCTCATACACCTGTAAAGACCTTACTTTTGCCCATGGCATTCCCAAAGGAGGTTTAAGTCACCAGGCACTTAAAACCTGAGACACAGGGGGTTTGAAGCAAGACAGCCTTCACCACATCCATTTAGAACTCCAAAATCCAGCCTTGTTCTCAAATCCCTGGGGTTGCTTCAAGATGTCTCCTGCATGACCAAGCATAGAGCTCCAATTCCTTCCTCATCACCATACTACCACACCTCACCCCAAGTCAACAACCACACTGTAAGAATTTTATCTCAACCCTCCTACGGATCCCTGGCAAAAGGTCAGTGTGGGGGTTTTCTTCTGTTGCTTGGCTGACTCAGATCTCTCCTCTCCCCATGCTGCCTTGAGGAGGCCAAGGTTCCAGGTTTTCTGGTTTCAAAATAAATTGGCAGAAATCTGAAGTGATGCCAATAACGCCCTCCTGCCCTCAGGCATCTGGGTCCCAGTGGGAGGTCTCTTAGCAACCAGGCTCAAATCAAATATTTGGGCATCTGGACACATTCAGATTGGGATGAGCTCATCAACAAAAACTTCTCTCTTTCCCTCAGCCCAGATACTGAGAGTTAGGAAAGAGTGCTGAGCCCCCTCAATCACCTCCCTGCACTGGGAGAAGCTGTGACTCATGACAAGTGTTCAATCAGAGGCAGCCCCGGGCTGGCAGGCCAGGTATCTGGCTTCCATTTCTGTCTTGATACGTATCATTGGATGAGACTCTTGAACTTTTTTGTTGCTGTGCCGACATAAAGCCCAAAGTTTTCATTTGACGCTCCGCATGCAGTCTTTTCACCAAAAATCAGAATACTCAGGGTCACAGAGGGTGTGAGCTTGTTCAATTCAGACGTGAACCAAGAGGAAGAAGGCTTTCAGAGCCCTCTTCCGCCATCTGCATCCTCCCTGCAAAATCCCCCACCAGTGACAAATGGTGAATGGGAGGGAGAAGGGGGCTTATGGGTGCTGGCAAGAAAGTTCCACATTTTGACTTTTCCAGTCCAAACCCCCAGGTTTATGCTGCCCTGTATACTCCAGAAAGACTTGCTGTTGTTCAGTCGCCAAGTTGCATCCAACCGTTTGCGATCCCATGGACCGCAGTATGCTAGGTCTCCCTGTCCCTCACCATGTCCCAGAATTCGCCAAGTTGTCCTTTGAATTGCTAATGCCATCCAGCCATCTCATCCTCTGTCGGCCCCTCCTCCTCCTGCCCTCAGTCTTTCCCAGCATCAGGGTCTTTTCCAATGAGTCGGCTCTTTGCATCAGGTGGCCAAAGTATTGGAGCTTCAGCTTCAGCATCAGTCCTTCCAATGAATATTCAAGGTTGATTTCCTTTACGATGGACTGGTTTGATCTCCTTGCTGCCCAAGGAACTCTCAAGAGTCTTCTCCAGTACCGGAAAAGACTACACACACCAAATTTGGCTTTGGATGCTAATTCAAACTGATAACTTCATATACAAGGGAGGCCAAATGGAACTTTTAAATCCTAGTCTCCTGGGAATTCCCTGGTGGTCCAGTGGATAGGACTCTGCATTCTCACTGCTGAGGGCCCAGGTTCGATCCCTGATCAGGGAGTTAAGATCCCACAAGCCGTGCAGTGCAGCATAAAAAAGGCATTATCTTTTGAGAGATGGACTGGTCAGGGCTCCCCTTCCTCAACCAGCATGTACTCATCATAATTATCCATTATACCACCCCCTGGGCTTTTTGAGTTGCTTATTTCTATGTGCACAGATGTCTAACCTCTTCATTGAGTCCCAGAAGAAAAATGCATGTCTCATATTCCCTTACCACCTTTTAGGTCACCTCACCCACAGCCCTGGGGGCAAACACCACTAGGTCCTAAAGAAACACTGAATGTAATGAGCACCCAGACCCCACAAGCCTGAGGATGCTCCAAGGTGGCAGCTTGAAGGGCTCTCCCAGCAGGAAAAGTCATCTCTTCCTTCAGTGGAAACAAGAAGTTGGAGGGCAGTAAGGGTAGTGAAAGGAGCGTGGGCTCTGGAGTCAGCACCGTTGGTTGGCCTCCCCACTCTCTAGCTGTATGGTCTCAGGCACATTACCTAACCTCTCTCAGAAAATGAAAGTCACAGTAGTACCTGCTTTGCTGGATTTTTTTCAAACAATTAAATCATCACTGTAAAGCATCTAGCCCAAACATAGTCAATAAGTGTGGTTCTTATTATCATTTTTTTACCCAATCATTTAATCATTAAATAAAAGTATCCTTGGGTTACTTAGCTTTCTGATTACAAAAGTATTTTAATTATTTATCTAAAAAGCTGCAGAAGAGTATGGACTGAATAGTCAAGCACGTCAGCTTCAAAGACCTGAGTTTAAATCATATAACCATTTTTAAATCACTCCTTGGTCTGTTTTAAAAAAAAAAGGTATCTGTAGCAACAATAATTGATAGTCCACTTATTTGATTAATTTTGGTACGAGGAACATAGAGAAGTTGATCTTTAGGATTCAGTGGTGACCCTGACTTCTGTGTCATACACCCTACTTCCTTAATCTGCTTTAAAAGCTGCCTGAGCTGTTCTCTGCAAGGCTCAAGGATCAGTTTTTGTTGATTTTGTTTATACTGTAGAAGATGATGCCTGACTTCAAGCACTGAAAGACATGCTTCTTTGGAAGAGAGCCTGAGCAAGACTTGACAGTAGACATAGTTTATCCTGTTTACTGTCATCAGCCAGTAAAGAAGCCAGCATTATCTCTAAAAGCCTCAAACTGGAAACAGCCCAAGGGTCCAACAGGTCAAGACCATGTTTTCACAAAGCAATGGAATACAATTGTATTGATCCAACCACCAGGTTTATAAAATAAAAAAGAGGAATAGGATCTTCTAAATTGTAGCTGTTATAAGGATTTGAGCTTGATCCCCAAGAGTACACTTTTCCAATATGTTTTTATTTTAAAACACGTGTATTAATATGCGGTATTTGTTTTTCTCTTCCTGACTTACTTCTGGTGGAGACTAACACAACACTGCAATTATACTCCCATGAAAAAATAAAGTACATGCAATAGCCGTTTATTCAATGTCTATTGAGCATCTGCTATGCATCTGGCATTGCTGGGGAAACACCATGGAAAACAATTCACCATCCTCATGGAGCTGACATTCTAGTGTGAGACACAGGTAATAAAGAAAAATGCTGTGGTACCTCTTTACCAAAAATTTTCACATTTAATTTTACAGGCAAGTTGTCAAGTAGTTAGGATTTCCTGAACACATCTGATAGATAGGGGAACATAAATCGGACAATGTCAGTAGCTAATGAGTGACAGACCTGGGATTTAAACCTAAGTCATCTGGTACTTCCACTCCTGGCAGTAGCAGACTAAGCAATTCAGATCAACCTTCCCATCAAAGGCAACTTTAAAAGCTTTGATGAAATATTTGTTTAATTTTCTTAAAAGCATCAAAGCAATAATAAGGTAGTGAAGGAACACCTGCCAAAACCTAGGAAAGGACAAACCCCAGAGAGGCTGGCCTAGCCCACAAAGCTTTTATCCAAAAGTATTTGTCAATCTGGAAAAAAAAAAAAACAACAACTTTGAAAATAAGCTCTTGCTTTCATAGCTTCACAAGACCAAAGTCCAGAGCCTGTCAAAGTTGGGGATTCAGATAAATACTCACCATTTTAAGCTGGGTCCCTGGGGTGAGAGAGCAGAGGGTAGCCCTCGGGCTTTTAACCGGTTCACAGCCTTCAGGCTTGTAACACGTTCACATCAGAACTGAGATCAGGGAATCACAGGTTTTGCACTTGGACCAAGGTGGCTTCAGACAGGAAGTGAATCCCTGAATACATTCAGTGCCACGTACGTATACACGTGTCTGTGTGCTCCGTTACTCAGTCATGTCTGGTTCTTTGCGGCCACGTGGACTACAGCCCTTCAGGCTCCTCTGCTCCTGGACTTTCCCATCAAGAACACTGGAGTGGGCTGCCATTCGCTATTCCAGAGGACCTTCCCAAGTTAGGGATCCAACTTACACCTCTGCGTCTCCTGCATTGGATTCTCCACCACTAGCACCACTTGGGAAGCCCCATGTATGCACATACATGTATATACATAGGTGAGATAAGAAAGCCTTCCTCGTGATCAGTGCAAAGAAACAGAGGAAAACAATAGAATGGGAAAGACTAGATATCTCTTCAAGAAAATTAAAGATACCAAGGGAACATTTCATGCAAAGATGGGCACAATAAAGGACACAAATAGTATGGACCTAACAGAAGCAGAAGATATTAAGAGGTGGCAAGAATACACAGTAGAACTATACAAAAATGATCTTCATGACCCAGATAATCACGATGGTGTGATCACTCACCTAGAGCCAGACATCCTAGAATGCAAAGTCACGTGGGCCTTAGGAAGCATCACTGCAAACAAAGTTAGTGGATGTGATGGAATTCCAGCTGAGCTATTTCAAATCCTAAAAGATGATGCTGTCTAAGTGCTGCACTCGATATACCAGACAATTTGGAAAACTCAGCAGTGACCGTGGACTGGAAAAATGTCAGTTTTCATTCCAATCCCAGAGAAAGGCAACGCCAAAGAATGTTCAAACTACCACACAATTGNTTTTTTTTTTAAGTGAAAATTTCAAAATAAATGATTGCTTTGTTTCAATTATTGAAACCAATGCTTGTTTTGGAGACGTTTCCTGATCAAAACAAATACTTGTACCTAAAACAAATATTTGAACTTGTAGGAGTTCTGAGTTGTAAGTGTGGTTTTCACACCGTCAGCAGGATTTTTACACCATTGTAGGATGATGATCTCAAGTACAGGATGGACCTATGCATTTTTAGATCTCTGTGTTTCTAGTTTCATTATTTATACCTTCCTTCTTTATCTCACAAAGTAATCTGAGGCTGAGTGGAGACAGCAAATGGGTGAGCTTTTGAATTCCCTAAATTCAAGACATTCGAGTCAATTTAACATGAGACAGTTACTGTATAGACAGCATATTAAAAAGCAGAGACATAACTTTGTCAACAAAGGCCCACCTAGTCAAGGCTATGGTTTTCCCAGTAGTCATGTATGGATGTGAGAGTTGGACTGTAAAGAAAACTGAGAGCCAAAAAATTGATGCTTTTTAACTATGGTGTTGGAGAAGACTCTTGAGAGTCTCTTGAACTGCAGGGAGATCCAACCAGTCCATCCTAAAGGAAATCAGTTCTGAATATTCATTGGAAGGACTGATGCTGAAGCTGAAGCTCTAATACTTTGGCCTGCTGATACAAAGAACTGACTCATTTGAAAAGACCCTGATCTTGGGAATGACTGAAGGTGGGAGGAGAAGGGATCGACTGAGGATGAGATGGTTGGGTGGCATCACCAACTCAGTGGACATGAGTTTGAGTAAATTCCAGGAGTTTGTGATGGACAGGGAAGCCTGGCATACTGCAGTCTGTGGGGTCACAAAGAGTTGGACATGACTGAGCAACTGAACTGAACTGAATTTAACATATGTCTATGTATAGACATATACATATTAGTATGTTCATTTATATGTACACACACACATATGTATTAATATCAAATGCCTACCAGGAGAATTGAAACACCCAAGAAAACTGGTACTTATGAGCAAAAAGAGCAGAAACAGTCAAGGGTGGGACCAGGCCCACAGAGACTTTAGAAATGGGAATTCTTACACTATTAGACAACTTAGTATATTCAGAAACATATATGCCATACATGAAAATTGTGACAGAGAACTGGAAACTATAGGAAATTACATAAAAGATTTTTAAAAGAGCCACATAGAAATTTTCAGACTGAGAAATATGATCACTAAAGTTAAGAAAAAAATCAGTGGCTGAGTTAATAGCAGATAATCACAGCTAAACTGAGATTTGTGAACTGGCAGATAGGGCAGAAAAAAAAAACTATTCAGAAATCAGTTTGAAAGGGGGGAAAACATATAAATATGTTTTACATAAATATATATACACACAATATATATATGATATGTTCAAAAGGCCTCACGTTTAATTGGCATCCAGAGAGGAAAGAAATATTGGAACGAAAGCAGTGCTTAAAGAGATGGCAGCCAAGAATTTTCCAGAATGAGTGGCAAATGTCAATTCACAGTTTTGGAAAGCCTAACAATTCCTAAATAACATGAATTTTTCAAAAATGCACACATTGATACAACATAGAGAAACATAAACAACCAAACACAGAGAAATTCTGAGCCTCCACCATCTGATGCAAGTTTGGCTGTCTCCCCACTTCACGAAGCCCCTTTTCCATCGAGGCGCAAGCTGCTCTTGCCCTGTCCCACCCACTCCCCCTGGGTGGGTAGGTGGCCAGTCCTCAGTCTTTAAGTGGCCCTCTTTCTGCATAAGCAGAAACACTGCTGATTTCTAGAACACTCCTAAAAATGCTACATCTAGTTAGCAGTAATCACAATGAAACACACTATTTAAACTGGCAGGCTCAAAAGAGTGAATTTGTAACTCACACAAAAGCAAAAGAATCAGTCAGGGCCAGATAGGAACAAGATGAGGACAAAAATATTTCCTCCCTCCCTCTATGGCCAGTTACCTATGTGATCCAATGATCCCATAAATGCCAAGATAAGGATTCAGGACTAGGTGTGGTGATGATAAGGGAGGCAGTGATTTTGTTTTTACACTATCTTTTACGGGTGCTCCAAACACCAGGGGCTATATTTCATTCCTCTTATTTTTCCAACATCTGAACAGGTCCTGGATAACAAGAGGAAGTCATAAGTTAATTTGCGAGTGAATGAAATTGTACACCATGTGAGGCAATCCTACCAAGCCAGCATCAGGAACCTTGACTCCTAGGAAGGTTTCAGACTGACAGACTCTCCACCTTCCTAGAGAAATGAAAACTTCATCTTATGTTTTTTCATCTTCTCCTATCACACATTACCTGCTACAGTTGCCAAAAAATAAAGATTTTTTTTAAAATTTATAGTGAAATGGACTGATAGGAAATAGTACTGAATCCTTTCAAGAAGTATACCGTATACCAGCAGTACAGGGCATGGAAAAGATGGCCATGACCCTGAAATAGTCACAGCTTTTGGGCAGGTCACATGCCACATCCAAACAGCCTTCTTGGGGTCTCCAGATCTTGTCCCCAAAGCCCGTCCTGCTCAGGGAAGGGGGAGGGGAGAGTTGAAAGGGTACTAGGCCAGAAGTCTGGTCAGGAGGTTCTAGATGAAGTGATCCAGGCTCAGTTTTGCCCCTTCACCTATGCCCTGCCAGTAAATCACTCATCTTTCCCCAACTCTCACCCAGAGCCTGGGGCCTGAGCTGCAAGATGAAGAGCTTAGAAAAGAGCAAACCATGCCTGGGATGCGGGGGAGTGGGGATAGGCATGTTTTGTCAAAACCTCCAGGTAGTCATGAGATGTGTGGATCAAAACTGCCCACAGCCAATTCCCTAAGACCTTTTCCAGGAAGAAGCCCGTGCACAAGAGGATGGTTCCCTAAAGTCCCCAGTGGAAGTAAATATTTTACGATTCCCCTTTTTCCTCTTGGTCTCCTACCTCACCCCAACTCTGTTTCTTAGAATCAGGAGAGGTGTAGTTTAGACAACAGATCCCTCTGTCTCTGGCCCCACATTTGACAAGCTTAGTCACCACAATAGATTAATTGAACACCGAGCTGCAGTCCCCAAAGCCATTCTGTGGCAAAGCAGATCCCACAACAAGCTAATTAGCAATCAAAATGCAACCACTGGAAGCAGCTTTATCACCCATCCGAGCTGACAGCACTGGGACGCCCACGGGGCTGTCACAGGCCGTCCTTGTTCCCATCAGCCTGGTCTCTCTCTCCTAGAGCCCCGACTGCCGTGTTC